CCCCCCACTGTGGTTAGTTTGGTGGCCTGGTCCAGAAGGGTGGACAAAGGAAGAGAAGAGCAGACACATGGACCGGAAAAGAGGACACACCGGAAGAACAGACTCACGGAAGGGGAGGGAGAGTGGACCCACTTAGGGAGGAGTGCGGACACACGGACAGGTAGGGCAGGGGGACATGCGGAACGGATGAGCAGAGGCCACGGACCGGGAGGGCGGACGGGCACGCGGACCAGAAAAGCGGACACACGGAAGGGGAAGACACACTGACCAGAAGAGCGGACACATGGACTGGATGATCGGACACACGGACGGGGAGGGAAGGCGAAAACGCTGAGCGGAAGGGCAGACACACGGACCGGAATGATGGACGGACGGGAAGGGCAGGAACCGAATTGCAGACATGCCCACTGCTCAGCTCTTCTTAAAAAGGGCACGTCCGCGGCGAGGGATACGCGTCATCACAGTGACGTCGGGAAAACGGAGGTTTGCGTCATCACGGGGCGCTGGTTCACAACAGGGCAGGACTCGGGGGCGGGGAGTGACGCGTGCACTCTCCCGCTGCTCAGCGTCATCAGATCAGCACTTGCAACTTGAGGGCGCGTCATCAGAATGCGCCGACCGTCTCCATGGCGACGGCCCAACGCGATCTCGCCCTCTGTGCATGGGGGCTTAAAACCAGGCGCGCCTGTTAGTCCACGTGATTCGCGTCATCAGGAGGGACACAGACAGGAAGAAGGGGCGGTGCGCACGGCAGAGGGCGTTTGCATCTCGCCGCTCAGTCTTTCTTCATACCCGCGGGGCCATCTTTACACCCATGCTTTACATCCCCGCGATGCCGTCCTTACATGCAAGCTTCATCACCGCTGGGCTGCCCTTACACCCATACGTCATCACCGGGACCATCCTTACACTCATGTGTCATCACCGCGGGGCCGTCCTTACACCCATGTTTCATCACCGCGGGGCTGTCTTTACACCCATGCTTCATCACGTGGCTCTGTCCTCAGACCCCTGCATCATCACCTCCTCGGGTCGCGTTCGTAAAGGTCTAGAGAGTAAAATAAGTCATAGAAGAGAGGTCTTTTTCCCTCCGTGGGTGATCAGTCTGTCTCTCGGAGAGAGGAAACTGCTGCTGCTAACAGCTTCTGGAAAAATCCACATCAGTGCCTACAAACATCGCAATGTATAGACTGTATCTCCCAGTCTTTTTTATAGAGAAGAAGATGCATTTAGTGTCAACGCCGCACTTTCTTTTCTTATTCAACATTATGTCTCTGAACATTTTCCCATATGCAAACACACAGATCTCCTTCACCACGAGGGTCTCCACAGGACTTATTGTAAAGACATAGCCTCCAACAGTACATACTGTCTAGACATTTTCTTTTATGTTTTCTTTTATTACTTTAAAAGAAATACCAATCCAAATTCCCACTCCCTTTCCTCCTCCCATTCCCTCCACACACCCTCCAACCCCACCTTTTCCAATCCTCAGAGAGGGTAAGGCACTTCGCTTTATGCAAGGTATAAGGCCCTCCCCCACTACGCCTAGGTTGAGCAAGGTATACATCCAAAGAAAATAAGATCCCCAAAAGCCAGTACATGCTGTAGAGGCAAATCCCAGTGCCATTGACATTGGCCGCTCATTCTGCCTCAACTGTCAACCACATTCAGAGTGACTGATTTGGTCCTATGTTTCTTCCTTCCCATTCCAGTTGGAGTTGGTAAGCTACCATTAGCTCAGGAAAACTGTCTCAGTGGGTGAATCCATCATGGTCTTGACCTCCTTGCTCATACTCTCACTCCTTCCACTCTTCAACTTGACTTTAGGAGCTCAGTCCAGTGATGTGATGAAGGTCTCTGCCTATGTTTCCATCTGTTGTTGGATAAAAGTTCTATGGTGATATTTAAGGTAATAACCAATCTGACCACAGGGCAAGGCCAGTTCAGGCACCCTCTCCTCTATTGCTTAGGGTCTCAGCTAGGGTCATCCCTGTACGTTCTTGGGCATTTTTCTAGAGCTAGGTTTCTTGCCAACTCCATAATGGATCCCTCAATCAAGATATTGTCTTTCCTTGCTCTCATATATGTCCTTCCTCCTATCCCATTCCTTAAGTTCTCCTCAACCACCCCTTGTCCCCTTCCTTCTACCCCCTGCACCCCTGCTTCCAAATTTTTGTCTGATTCCAGTTTCCAGGTTAGTCTATATATGTTTTTCTTTGGGTTCACTGTATTACTTAGGTTCTCTAGGATCACAAGCTATAGGCTCATTGGCCTTTGTTTATGACTAGTATCCACTTATGAGTGAGTTGATACCATGTTGGTTTTTTGGGGTCTGGGTAACCTAACTCAGGATAATGTTTTCTAATTCCATTCATTTGCATGCAGATTTCAAGATGTCATTAATTTTTTACTGCTGAGTAGTACTCTAATGAGTAGATGTGCCACACTTTCTTCATCCATTCTTCAGTTGAGGGGCATCTAGGTTGTTTCCAGGTTCTGGCTATTACAAATAATGCTGCTATGAACATAGTTGAATAAATACTCTTATAGTATGATTGATTATCTTTTGGGTTTATTCCCAAGAGTGGAATACTGGATCCTGGGGTAGGTTGATTTGAGAAACCACCACACTGATTTCCAAAGTGGTTGCACATGTTTGCATTTCCACCAGCAATGGATGAGGGTTCCCCTTGCCCCACAACCTCTCCAGTATAAGCTATCATTAGCGTTTTTGATATTAGCAATTCTGACAGACGTAAGATGGTAGCTCAAAGTTGTTTTGATTTGCATTTCCCTGATAGCTAAAAAAGAAGAAAATGTCCTTAAGTATCATTTGGCCATTTGAAATTCTTCTATTGAGAATTCTCTGTTTAGTTCAGTACACCACTTTTTAATTGGGTTATTTAGAATTTTAATGTCTAATTTCGTGAGTTCTTTATATATTTTGGAGATCTGTCCTTTGTCTGAAAAGGGGTTGGTGAAGATATTTTCCCATTCATTAGGCTGCCTTATTGTCTTACTGACTGTGTCCTTTGCTTTACAGAAGTTTCTCAGTTCCGCGGGGTCCAATTTATTTATTGATGCTCTTATTGTCTGTGCTACTGGGTTTATACATAGAAAGTGGTCTCCAGTGCCCATGTATTGCAGGCTACTTCCCACTTTCTCCAGGTTCAGTGTGGTCAGATTTATATTGAGGTCTTTAATCCATTTGGACATGAGTTTTGTGGATGGTGACAGATATGAATCCATATTCATTCTTCTACAGGTTGACATCCAGTTATGCCAGCACCATTTGTTGAAGATGCTTTCTTTTTTTTCATGGTATCTCTTTTGCTTCTTTCTCGAAAATCAGGTGTTCATAGTTGTGTGAATTAATATCTGGGTCTTCAACTTGATTACATTGGTGAACGTCTCCATTTTTTTGCCAATACCAAGCTGTTTTCATTACTGTAGCTCTGTAATAGTGCTTAATATCAGCGATGGTAATGCCTCTGGCAGTTTCTTTACTTTACAGGATTGTTTTGGCTATCCTGGGTTTCTTGTTTTTCCATATGAAGTTGATTATTGTTCTCTAAAAATTTGTGATGAATTGTGTTGGGATTTTGATAGGGATTGCATTGAATCTACAGATTGCTTTTGATAAGATTACCATTATTTCTAAGCTGATTGCCAGTATTTTATTGAGAATTTTTGCATCGATGTTCATGAGTGACATAGTTCTGTATTTGTCTTTCTTGCTTAAGTCTTTGTGTGGTTTAGGTATCAGGGTAACTGCAGTTTCAAAGGAAGAGTTCGGCAAGACTCTTATGTTTATATAATGTGAAACACATAAAGGAGTATAGGTATCAGCTGTTCTTGGAATTTCTGGTAAAATTCTGCATTAAAACCATTATGTGGTTGCCAAGAATCGAACTTCTGACCTGTGGATGGGCAGCCAATGCTCTTAACCACTGAGCTATCTCTCCAGCTCTTCTTTCTGTAGCCAAAAAGAGCAGAAGACCTCATTGAAGATGGTTTGCCAGTATTTTATTGAGAATTTTTCATCGATGTTCATGAGTGACATAGGTCTGTATTTGTCTTTCTTGCTTAAGTTTTTGTGTGGTTTAGGTATCATGGTAACTGCAGCTTCAAAAGAAGAGTTTGTCAAGACTCTTATGTTTCTATAATGTGAAACACACAAAGGAGTATAGGTATCAGCTGTTCTTGGAATTTCTGGTAAAATTCTGCATTAAAACCATTATGTGGTTGCCAAGAATCAAACTTCTGACCAGTGGAACGGCAGCCAATGTTCTTAACCACTTAGCTGTCTCTCCAACTCTTCTTTCTGTAGCCAAAAAGAGCAGAAGACCTCATTGAAGATGGTTTGTCAGTATTTTATTGAGAATAAATAAAATAAATAAATTAAATAAATAAATAAATAAAAAATAAAGGTCCTGGACCTGGTCCTGTCCCGGGAGGTGGTCCTGGCCCTGGCCCTGGGGTCCCTGGTTCGTCACTGGGTCTCTCCTGGTGTCAATGGTTCAGGCCTGGGTCCCCCCCGGGGTCCCTGATTCGGACCTGGGTCCCCTCTGGGGAGCTGGTCGCCACTGGGTCCTCACTTTGGTGCCAGACCCCGGGTACCCCCTGGGGTCCCTGTGGCGTACCTGGGTCCCCCCGGGGTTCCTGGGGCATCCCTGGGTCCTGACTCAGGGTCCATGTGGCGTACCTGGGTCCCTCCCTGGAGTCCCTGGGGTGTCCCTGTGGCCCCCCGGCGTTCGTGTGGCGGCCCTGGGTGCCCCCCAGGGTCCCTGGGCCGTCCCTGTGTCCCCCCTGGGGTCCCTGGGGTGTCCGTGGGCCCCCCTGGGGGGCCAGACCCCGCTGGGTTCCCCCGTCGGTGCAGGACCCCGGGTCCCCCCTTGGGTCCCTGGGGCATCCCTGGGTCCCCCCGCGGGGTCCCAGGGGCATTCCTGGTTCCCCCCCGGGGTCCCTGGGGCGTCCCTGCGTCCCCTCCGGGGTCCATGTGGCATCCCTGGGTCCACACCTGGGGTCAGTGGAGCGTCCCTGGGTCCCCCCCAAGGTCCCTGGGGCGTCCCAGGGTCCCCACAGGGTCCCTGGAACGTCCCTGGGTCCCCGCGGTGTCCCTGGATCCCCTGGGGGGCCGGACCCCACTGGGTCCCCGCTTTGTTGCCAGACCCCGGGTACCCTATGAGGTATCTGGGGTGTTCCTGGGTACCCCTGGGGTCCCTCGGGATTCCCTGGGTCCCCCCCAGGGTCCCTGGTTAGGCTCTCGGCCCCGCCCGGGGTCCCAGGCCCTGGCCCTGACCCTGGTCCTGGCCCTGTATTTTATTGCGAATAAATAAAATAAATAAATAAATAAATAATGAAAAAATAAACAAAAAAATAAAATGAATAAATAAAGGTCCGGGTCCTGGTCCTGGTCCTGGCCCTGGCCCTGGCCCTGGGGTCCTTGGGGCGTCCCTGGGTGCCCCCTGGGGTTCGGACCCCGCTGGGTCCTCCCTTTGGTGCCGGACCCTGGGTCCCCCTCGGGGTCCCTGGGGCTTCCCTGGGTCCCCCCTGGCGTCCCTGGTTCGGCCCTGGGTCCCCCCGGGGGTCCCTGGTTCGGCCCTGGGTCCCCCCCCGGTTGTCCCTGGTTCAGCCCTGGGACCAGCCCGGGGTCCCTAGTTGGGCCCTGGGTCCCCGCCATTGTCCCTGGGGGGCCGGACCTTGCTGGGTCCCTCCTTGGGTGCCGGACCTCGGGTCTCCCCTGGGGTCCCTGGGGCATCCCTGGGTCCCCCTGGGGACCCTAGGGTGTCCCTGGGTCCACCCTGGTGTCCGTGTGGCATCCTTGGGTCCCTACAGGGGTCCCTGGGGCGTCCATGGGTCCTTGCTGGGATCCTTGGGGCGTCCCTGTGTCCTCCCCGGTGTCCCTGTGGCATCCCTGGGTCCTCCCGGGGTCCTTAGGGCGACCCTGGGTCCCCCCTGGGGTCCCTGGGTCCCGTCCCGGGGTCCCTTGGGAGTCCCTAGGTCCCCCCGGGGTCCCTGGGATGAACCTGGGTCCCTCCCCCGGGGTCCCTGGGGCATCCATGGGTCTCCCCCAGGGTCCCTGGCGTGTCTCTGGGTTCCCCACCGGGGTCCCTGGGGCTGCCCAGTGTCCTCCACCCGGGGTCCCTGGTTCGGCCCTGTGTTTGCCCCCAGCGTCCCTGGGTCCCCACTGGGGTGTTTGGGGCATCCCTGTGTCCCCCCAGGGTCCCTAGTGCATCCCTGGGTTACCCAGAGTCCCTGGGGCATCCCTGGTTCCCCGCGGGGTCCCAGGGTCGGCCCTGCATCCGCCCGTGGGGTCCCTGGGGCGTCCCTGGGTCCCCCCGGGGTCCCTGGGGCGTCCCTGGGTCTCCTACAGGGGTCCCTGGAACATTCCAGGGTCCCCCTTGGGGTCCCTGTGGCGTCCCTGGGTCTACCCCCGGGGTCCCTTGGTTCCCCCTGGGGTCACTGGGGCATCACTGGGTCCCCCCTTCAGTGCTGAACACCGAGTCCCCCCAGGGGTCCCTGGGGCATCCCTGGGTCCCCCCTGGGGTCCCTGGGTTCCCCCTGGGGTCCCTGGGGCTTCATTGTATCCCCCCAAGGGCCCTGGTTCGGCCCTGTGTCTACCCCCAGGGTCCCTGCAGCATCCCTGGGTCTACCCCCGGGTTCCCTGGGTCTTTCCTGGGTGCCCACAGAGTCCCTGGGGCGTCCCTGGGTCTCCCACAGGGGTCCCTGGGGCGTTCCAGGATTCCCCTTGGGGTCCCTGTGGCGTCCCAGGGTCTACCCACGGGTCCTTTGATCCCCCCTGGGGTCCCTGGGGCGTCACTGGGTCCCCCTTCAGTGCCGGACACCGGGTCCCCCTCGTGGTCCCTGGGGCATCCCTGGGTGCCCACAGGATCCCTGGGGCATCCCTGGGTCCCACTGTGGTTTCTGGGGCGTCCTTCGGTTTCCTTCCGGGGTCCCTGGTTTGAAGCTGGGTCCCCCCCCGGTGTCCATGGATTGGCCCTGGGACCCCCCGGGGTCACTGTTTCGGCTCTGGACCCCCCCACCCAGGGTCCCTGGCCCTGGTCTGGCCCTGGCCCTGGCCCTGACCCTGGCCCTGGCGCTGTATTTTATTGCGAATAAATAAAATAAATAAAATAAAAAATGAAAAAAATAAACAAATTAATAAAATGAATAAATAAAGGTCCGGGTCCTGGTCCTGGTCCTGGCCCTGGCCCTGGCCCTGGGGTCCTTGTGGCGTCCCTGGGTCCCACCTGGGGTTCGGACCCCGCTGGGTCCTCCCTTCGGTGCCGGACCCTGGGTCCCCGTCGGGGTCCCTGGGGCTTCCCTGGGTCCCCCCTGGCGTCCCTGGTTCGGCCCTGGGTCCCCCCGGGGGTCCCTGGTTTGGCCCTGAGTCCCCCCCGTGTCCCTCGTTCAGCCCTGGGTCCACCCCGGGGTTCCTGGTTGGACCCTGGGTCCCCGTCATGGTCCCTGGTTCGGCCCTGGGTCCCCCACGTTGTCCCTGGGGGGCCGGACCTTGCTGGGTCCCTCCTTGGGTGCCGGACCTCGGGTCCCCCCTGGGGTTCCTGGAGCATCCCTGGGTCCCCCCGCGGGGTCCCAGGGGCATTCCTGGTTCTCCCCCGGGGTCCCTGGGGCGTCCCTGCGTCCCCTCCGGGGTCCATGTGGCATCCCTGGGTCCACACCTGGGGTCGGTGGGGCATCCCTGGGTCCCCCCAAGGTCCCTGGGGCGTCCCAGGGTCCCGACAGGGTCCCTGGAACGTCCCTGAGTCCCCGCGGTATCTTTGGGGTGTCCCTGGATCCCCTGGGGGGCCGGACCCCACTGGGTCCCCGCTTTGTTGCCAGACCCCGGGTACCCTATGAGGTATCTGGGGTGTTCCTGGGTACCCCTGGGGTCCCTCGGGAGTCCCTGGGTCCCCCCCGGGGTCCCTGGTTAGGCTCTGGGCCCCGCCCGGGGTCCCAGGCCCTGGCCCTGACCCTGGTCCTGGCTCTGACCCTGGCCCTGGCCCTGTATTTTATTGCGAATAAATAAAATAAATAAATAAATAAATAAATAAATAAATAAATAAATAAATAAATAAAATGAAAAAATAATGAAATAAATAAAATGAATAAATAAAGGTCCGGGTCCTGGTCCTGGTCCTGGCCCGTGGGGTCCTGGGGTGTCCCTGGGTCCCGCCGGGGTCCCTGGGGCATCCCTGTGTCTCCCACAGGGGTCCCTGGGGCGTTCCAGGGTCCCCCTTGGGGTCCCTGTGGCGTCCCTGGGTCTACCCCCGGGGTTCCTTGGTCCCCCCTGGGGTCACTGGGGTGTCACTGGGTCCCCCCTTCAGTGCCAGACACCGGGTCCCCCTCGGGGTCCCTGGGGCGTCCCTGGGTCCTCCCCAGGGTCCCTGGGGCTTCACTGTGTCCCCCCCGCCGGGGTCCCTGGTTCAGCCCTGTGTTTGCCCCCGTGGTCCCTGGGGCATCCCTGGGTGCCCACAGGGTCCCTGGGGTGTCCCTGGGTCCCAGTGTGGTTTCTGGGGCATCCCTGGGTTTCCTTCCGGGGTCCCTGGTTTGAAGCTAGGTCACCCCCCGGTGTCCATGGTTCAGCCCTGGGTCCCCCCGGGGTCACTGTTTCGCCTCTGGACCCCCCCAGGGTCCCTGGCCCTGGTTCTGGCCCTGGCCCTGGCCCTGACCCTGGCCCTGGCCCTGACCCTGGCCCTGGCCCTGTATTTTATTGCGAATAAATAAAATAAACAAATCAAAAATAAATAAATAAATAAATAATAAAAAAATAAACAAATAAATAACACAAATAAATAACGGTCCAGGTCCTGGTCCCAGTCCTGGCCCTGGCCCTGGCCCTGGGGTGTCTGGAGAGTCCCTGGGTCCCCCTCCCAGGTTCTCTGGGGCGTCCCTGGGTCCACCCGCCGGGTCCCTGGCGCAGCCCTCGGTTCCCCCCCAGGGGTCCCTGGGGCTTCCCTGGGTCCACCCCCGGGGTCCCTGTGACGTTCCTGGGTTCCCCCCGGGGTCCCTGGTTAGGTCATGTGTCCCCCCCCGGGGTCCCTAGTTCGATGCTGGGTCCCCGCCCTGGTGTCCCTGGTTCGGCCCTGGGTCTGCCCCTTGGTCCCTGGTTCGGCCTTGGGCTCCCCCCAGGGTCCCTGGCCCGGGCCCTGGCCCAGGCCCTGTATTTTTCAGAATAAATAAAAGAATAAAATAAAAAATAAATAAATTTAATAAATAAATAATAAACAAAATAAATAAATAAAGGTCCTGGCCCTGGACCTGGAACTGGCCCTGACCCTGGCCCTGGCCCCGCCCTCAGTGTCCCTGGGGTTTCTTTTGGTCCCCACCCCGGGATCCCTGGGGCGTCCCTGTGTCTCCCACCGGGGTCCCTGGGGCGTCCCAGGGTCCCACTCGGGGTCCCTGGGGCGTCCCGGGGTCTACCCCCAGGGTCCTTGGGGCATCCCGGGGTCTACCCCCGGGGTCCCTGGGACGTTCTTGGGTTCACCCTGGGTCCCTGGTTCGGCCATGGGTCCCCCCCTGGGGTCCTAGTTTGATGCTGGGTTCCCCTCCCCCCCGGTGTCCCTGGTTCGGCACTGGGTCCCCACCGGGGTCCCTGGTCCTGGCCCTGGCCCTAGCCCTGACCCTGGCCCTGGCCCTGGCGCTGTATTTTATTGTGAATAAATGAAATAAATAAATAAAAATTAAATAAATAATTAATAAATAAATAAATAAATAAATAAAATAAATAAATAAATAAAGGTCCTAGTCCTGGTTCTGGTCCTGACCCTGGCCCTGGCCCTGGGGTCCCAGGGGCATCCCTGGGTCCTTCCTGGGGTCCCTGGTGCATCCCTAGGGCCCCACTTCGGTGACAGACCCTGGGTCCCCCCTGGGTTCCCTGGGGATTCCCTGGGTTGCCCCGCGGGGTCCCTGGGGAGTCCCTGGGTCCCCCCGAGGTCCGTGGGTTCTCCCTGGGTCCCCCTGGGCTCCCTCAGGCGCCCCCAGGTCTACCCCCGGGGTCCCTGGGGCATCCCTGGGTCCCCCCTGTGGTCCCTGGGGCATCCCTGGGTACCCCCTGGGGGCTCTGGGGCATCTCTACATCCCCCTGGGGTTTCCGGGGCGCCCCTGGGTCTCCCCTGGGGGCTGGACCCCACTGGGGCCTCCATTTGGTGCCGGCCCCTAGGTCCCTCCTGGGGTATCTGATACCCCCGGGGTCCCTGGGGCCTCCCTGGGTCCCCCACAGGGTCACTGGTTCAGCCCTGGGCCCACCCGGGGTCCCTAGTCCTGGCCGTGGCCCTGTCCCTGACCCTGGCCCTGACCCTGTTTTTTCTTGTGAATAAATAAAAGAAAGAAAGAAAGAAAGAAAGAAAGAAAGAAAGAAAGAAAGAAATATATTAAATAAATAAATAAATAAATAAATAAATAAATAAATAAATAAATAAAATAAAGGTCCTGGTCTTGGTCCTGGTCCTTGCCCTGGCCATGGCCCTGGGGTCCTTGGGGCATCCCTGAGTCCCCCCGGAGTCCATGGGGCACCCCTGGGTCCCCTGGGGTCCCTGGGGTAACCCTGGATCTGCTCCCGGGGTCCCTGGGGCATCCCTGGGTCCCCCTCCGGTGTCCGTGGGTCATCCCTGGGTCTCCAACAGGGGTCCCTGGGGAGTTCCAGGGCCCCACTTGGAGTCCCTGCGGCATCCCTGGGTCTACCCCCAGGGACCCTGGGGCCTCCCTGGGTACCCCCTAGGGTCCCTGGGGAGTCACTGGGTTCCCCCTTCAGTACCGGGCCCCGGATCCGCCCCCCGGCGTCCCTGGGGCATCGCTGAGTCTACCCCCAGGGTCCCTGGGGCATTTCTGCGTCCCCCCTCAGGTCCCTGGGGTGTCCCTGGGTCTACCCCTGGGTTACCTGGGGATTCCCTGGGTCGCCCCCCGGGTTCCCTGGGGAGTCCCTGGGTTCCCCCCGGGGTCCCTGGGGCCTCCCCGGGTCCCCACACGGGGTCCCTTGGGCATCCCCGGGTCTACCCCCGGGGTCCCTGTGGTCTCTGGGGTGTCCCTGGGTACCCCCCAGGGTATAGGGGCATCCCTAGGTCCCCCTGGGGTCTCCGGGCCATCCCTGGGTCTCCCCAGGGGGGCTGGCCCCACTGGGTCCTCCCTTCGGTGCTGGACCCCGTGTCCCACCTGGGGTCCCTGATCCCCCCTGGGTTTCCCCTGGGGTCGCTGGTTCGGCCCTGGGTTTCCTCCGGGGTCCCTGGTTCTGCCCAGGGTCCCCCCCCGAGGTCCCTGGTTCGGCCCTGGGTCCCCCCAGGGGTCCCTGGGGCATCCCTGGGTCCTCCCTGGGGTCCCTGGGTGCCTCCTGGGGTCTCTGGGGCATCCCTGGGTCCCCCCCCGGGGTCCCTGGTTCAGCTCTGGGCTCCCCCCGGGTTCCTTGCCTAGGCCCTGGCCCTGTATTTTTGAGAATCAATAAAATGATAAAATAAAAAATTAATTAATTAATTAATTAAATAAAAATAAATAAATAAATAAATAAAGGTCCTGGCCCTGGCCCTGACCCTGACCCTGGCCCTACCCCCGGGGTCCCTGGGGCTTCCCTGGGTCCCCCCACCTGTGGTCCCTGGGGCATCCCTGGGTCTCCCACCGGGGTCCCTGGTTCGTCCCAGGTTGCCCCCCGGAGTCCCAGGGGCATCCCTGTGTCCCCCCTGGCGTCCCTGGGGCATCTCTGGGTCCCACCTGGGGTCCCTGGGGCATCACTGGGTCCCCCCTATAGTGCAGGTCCCCGGGTCCCCCAATTAGGATCCCTGGGGCGTTCCAGGGTACACTAGGTGTCTCTGGTTTGGCCCTGGGTCCCCCCGGGGTCCCTGGTTCAATGCTGGGTCCCACCCGTTGTCCATGTTTCGGCCCTGGGTACCCCCGGGGTCCCTGGTTCGGCTCTGGGCCCCGCCCGGGGTCCCAGGCCCTGGCCCTGACCCTGGCCCTGGCCCTGTATTTTATTGAGAATAAATAAAATAAATAAATAAATAATAAATAATAAATAAATAAATAAAGGTCCTTATCCTGGTGCTAGTCCTGGCCCTGGCCCTGGCCCTACGGTCCCTGGGGCGTCCTTGGGACCCCCCTTCGGTTACAGACCTGGGGTCCCCCTGAGGTCCCTGGGGATTCCCTGGGTCGCCCCCCGGGGTCCCTGAGGTGTCCCTGGGTCCCCACCAGGGTCCCTGGGGCCTCCCTGGGTCCCCACTCGGGGTCCCTCGGGCGTCCCAGGGTCTCCTGGGGCGGCCTTGGGTGCCCCCAATGGTCCCTGGGCTATCCCTGGGTATCCCCTGGGGTCTAGGGGCATCCCTAGGTCCCCCTGGGGTTTCCAGGGCATACCTGGGTCTCCCCAGGGGCACTGGACCCCACTGGGTCCTCCCTTCGGTTCCGGACCCCAAGATCCTCCTGGGGTCCCTGATCCCCCCGGGGTCACTGGGGCCTCCCTGGGTCCCCCATGGGGTCACTGGTTCGGCCCTGGAGCCCCCCCAGGGTCAATGGTCCGGGCCATGGCCCTGGCCCTGACCTTGGCCCTAGCCCTGTATTTTATTGTGAATAAAATAAATAAATAAATAAATAAATAAATAAATAAATAAATAAAATAAAGGTCCTGATCCTGGTCTTGGTCCTGGTCCTTGCCCTGGCCCTGGCCCTGGGGTCCTTGGGGCATCCCTGGGTCCTCCCGGAGTCCCTGATGCATCCCTGGGTCTGCCCTGGTGTCCCTGGGGCATCCCTGGGTCTCCAACAGGGGTCCCTGGGGCGTTCCAGGGTCCCCCTTGGAGTCTCTGCAGCGTCCCTGAATCTACCCCCGGGGTCCATGGGGCATCCCAGGATTTCCCCTGGGGTCCCTGGGGCGTCCATGGTCTACCCCCGGGGACCCTGGGGCCACCCTATGTCTCCCTGGGGTCCCTGGGGAGCCACTGGGTCCCCCCTTCAGTGCCGGACCCCGGATCCGCCCCCCGGGGTCCCTGGGGCATCGCTGGGTCTACCCCCGGGGTCCCTGTGGCACCCTGCATTCCCCCTGGGGTCCCTGGGGCGTCCCTAGGTCCCCCTGGGGTTTATGGGGTGTTCCTGGGTCTCCCCTGGGGGGCTGGGCCCTGCTGGGTCCTCTGTTCAGTGCCGGACCCCAAGTCCCTCCTGGGGTCCCTGATCTCCCTGGGGTCCCTGGGGCGTCCCTGGGTTTCCCCTGGGGCGCCCCTGGGTTTCCCCTGGGGTGGCTGGTTTGGCCCAGGGTCCCCACCGGGGTCCCTGGTTCTGCCCAGGGTCCCCCCTGAGGTCCCTGGTTCGGTCCTGGGTCCGCCCCGAGGTCCCTGGGGCATCCCTGGTTCCTCCCCCGAGATCCCTGGATCGGGTCTGTCTCCCCGCCGGGACCCTGGTTCAGCCAAGGGTCGCCATCGGGGTCACTGGTTCGGCCCTGGGCCCCCCGGTGTCCCTGGCCCTGGCCCTGACCCTGACCCTGGCCCTGGCCCTTGGCCTGTATTTTATTGCGAATAAATAAAATAAATAAATAAGAAATAAATAAATAAATAAATAAATAAATAATAAAAATAAATAAATAAACAAATAAATAAATAAAGGTCCTAGTCGTGGTCCTGGTCCTGGCCCTGGCACGGGACCTGGGGTCCCTGGGGCGTCCGTGGGTCCCACCTAGGGTCCCTGGCGCGTCCATTGGGCCCCCCTTCGGTGACAGACCCCGGGTACCCCCTGGGGTCCCTGGGGATTCCCTGAGTCGCCGCCCGGGGTCCCTAGGGAGTCCCTGGGTCCCCCCCGGGGTCCCTGGGGCCTCCATGGGTCCCCCCTGTGGTCCCTGGGGCGTCCCTGGGTCCCACCTGGGGTCTCTGAGGCGTCCCTAGGTCCCCCTGGGGTTTCCGGGGCATCCCTGGGTCTCGCCTGGGGGCTGGACCGCGCTGGGTCCTCCCTTCGGTGCCGGACCCCGGGTCCCTCCTGGGATCCCTGGTCCCCCCGGGGTCATGGGGCCTCCCGGGATCCACCACGGGGTCACTGGTTCGGCCCTGGGCCCCCCCGGGGTCCCTAGCCCTGGCCCTGGCCCTGACCCTTGCCATTGCCCTGGCCCTGTATTTTATTGTGAATCAATAAAATAAATAAATGAATAATTAAATAAATAAATAAAATAAATAAACGAATTAAATAAATAAAAAATTAATAATTGAATAGAAAATTAATAAACAAACAAATAAATAAATAAAGGTCCTAGTCCTGGTCCTGGCCCTGGCCCTGGGGTCCCTGGGGCATCCCTGGGTCCCCCCTGGGGTCCCTGGCGCGTCCCTAGGGCCCCCCTTCGGTGACAGACCCCGGGTCCCCCCTGGGGTCCCTGGGGATTCCCTGGGTCGCCCCCCCGGGGTCCCTGGAGAGTCCCTGGTTCCCCCTCCCAGGGTCCCTGGGGCCTGAATGGGTCCCAACTCGGGGTCCCTCAAGCGTCCCCGGGTCTACCCCCGGGGTCCCTGGGGCATCCCTGGGTCCCCCCTGTGGTCCCTGGGGCATCCCTTTGTACCCCCTGGGGTCTAGGGGCATCCCTAAGTCCCCCTGGGGTTTCTGTGGCGTCCCTGGGTCTCCCCAGGAGGGCTGGACTCCTCTGGGTCCTCCCTTCGGTGCCAGACCTCGAGTCCCTCCTGGGGTCCCTGATCCCCCCCGGGACCCTGGGGCGTCCCTGGGTTTCCCCTGGGGTCGCTGGTTTGGCCCTGGGTCCCCACCGTGGTCCCTGGTTCTGCCCAGGGAACCCCCCCGAGGTCCCTGGTTTGGCCCTGGGACCCCCCGGGGGTCCCGGGGTCATCCCTGGCTCCCCCACGGGATGCTGGTTCGGCCCTGGGTCACCATCGGGGTCATTGGTTTGGCCCTGGCCCCACCAGTGTCCCTGGCCCTGGCCCTGGCCCTGGCCCTGGCCCTGGCCCTGGCCCTGGCCCTGACCCTGACCCTGGCCCTGGCCCTTGGCCTGTATTTAATTGCGAATAAATAAAATAAATAAATGATATATAAATAAAATAAATAAATAATAAATAAAATAAATAAATAAACAAACAAATAAATAAATAAAGGGCCTAGTCCTGGTCCTGGCCCTGGCACTGGCCATGGGTTCCCTGGGGCATCCCTGGGTCCCACCTGGGGTCCCTGGCGCGTCCCTAGGGCCCCCCTTCGGTGCCGGACCCTGGGTGTCCTTTGGGGTCCTTGGGGCTTCCCTGGGTCCCCCCCCTGGGATCCCTGGTTCAGCCCTGGCTCCCCACCAGGGACACTGGTTCGGCCCTGGGTCCCCCCCGGGATCCCTGGTTCGGCCCTGGGTTCCCCCCGGTGTTCCTGGTTTGGCCCTGGGTCCACCCCCGGGGTCCCTGGTTGGTCGCTGGGTCACCCCCATGATCCCTGGTTCGGCCCTGGGCCCCCCCCGTTGTCACTTTGGGACCAGACCTTGCTCGGTCCCTCCTTGGGTGCTGGACATCGGGTCACCCCTGGTGTCCTTGGGGCATCCCTGGGTCCCCCTGGGGACACTAGGGTGTCCCTGGGGCATCCCTGGGTCCACCCCGGGGTCCCTGGGTTATCCCTGGGTCCCCCCCCGCAGGGTCCCTGGGGCGTCCCTGGGTCTCCCACAGGGGTCTCTGGGGCGTTCCAGGTCCCCCTTGGGGTTCCTGGGGCATCCCTGGGTCTACCCCCGGGTTCCCTGGGGCATCCCTGGGTCTCCCCTGGGGTCCCATGTGCGTCACTGGGTCCCGCCTTCAGTGCCGGACCTCGGGTCCCCCTCCCTGGGGTCCCTGGGGCGTCCCTAGGTCAGCCTGCAGTTTCTGGGGCGTCCCTGTGTCTCCCCTGGGGGGCAGGAACCCGCTGGGTCCTCTCTTCAGTGCTGGACCCCGCGTCCCTCCTGGGATCCCTGTTCCCCCGGGATCCCTGGGCCATCCCTGGGTTTCCCTGGGGTCGCTGGTTCGGCCCTGGGTCCCCACCGGGTTCCCTGGTTCGGCCCAGGGACCCCCCGAAGTCCCTGCTTCAGCCCTGGTCCCCCCCCCGGAGTCCCTGGGGCGTCCCTGGTTCCTCCCGCGGGGTCCCTGATTCGGGCCTGGCTCCCCTCCGGAACCCGGGTTCGGCCCTGGGTCCCCAACGGGGTCACTGGTTCGGCCCTGGGCACCCCGGTGTCCCTGGCCCTGGCCCTGACCCTGGCCCTTGGCCTATATTTTCTTGCGAATAAATAAAACAAATAATAAATAAATAAATAAATAATAAACAATAAATAAATAAATAAATGAATTAAGGTCCTGGTCCTGGTCCTGGCCCTGGCCCTGGCCCTGGGGTCCCTGGGGCATCCCTAGGTCCCCCCCTTCGGTGACAGACCCTGGGTCCTCCCTGGGGTCCGTGGGGAGTCCCTAGGTCCCCCTGGGGTTTCCGGGGCATCCCTGGCTCTCCCCTGGAAGCTGGACCCCGCTGGGTCCTCTTTTCGGTGCCGGACCCCGGGTCCCTCCTGGGGTCCCTGATCCTCCCGGGGTCCCTGGGGCCTCCCTGGGTCCCCCACGGGGTCACTGATTCGGCCCTGGGAACCCCCTGGGGTCGCTGGCCCTAGCCCTGGCCCTAGCCCTCAAACTGGCCCTGGCCCTGGCCCTGGCCCTGTATTTTATTGCGAATAAATAAAATAAATAAATATATATATATTAAATAAATAAATAATAAATGAATAACTAAATAAATAAAATAAATAAATGTCCCGGTCCTCGTCTTGGTCCTGGTCCTGGCCCTGGCCCTGGCCCTGGGGTCCTTGGGGCGTCCCTGGGTTCCCCCCGGGGTCCTTGTGGTGTCCCCAGGTGCCCATGGGGTCCCTGGTTCAGCCATGGGTCCCTACCGGGGACCCTGATTCGGCCCTGGGTCCCCCCCCGGGGTCCCTGGTTCGGCTCTGGGTCCAACCTGGGGTCCCTGGTCCGGCCCTGGGTCCCCACCCCGGTGTCCCTCGTTCTGCCCTGGGTACCCCCCAGGGTCCTTGGCCCTGGCCGTCGCCCTGTATTTTTGAGAATAAATAAAATAATAAAATAAAAATAAATAAATTAATTAAATATATAAAAAAATAAAATAAATAAATAAAGGTCCTGGCCCTGGCCCTCGCCCTGACCCTGGCCCTGGCCCTGGCTCTGGCCATGGCCCCACCCCCGCGGTCTCTGGGGTGTTCCTAGGTACCCCCCGGGGTCCCTGGGGCGTTCCTGGGTCCCCGCATGGCATCCCTGGGGCGTCCCTAGGTCCCCCTGGGGTCCCTGGGGCAAAACTGCTTCCCTCCCCCTGGGTCCCTGGGTCCCCCCCGGTGTCCCTGGGGCATCCCTAGGTCCCCCCGGGATCCTTTGGGCGTCCCTGGGTCCCCCCCCGTGTTCCCTGGTTCGTCCCTTGGTCTCTCTCCGGTGTCCCTCGGGCTTCCCTCTGTCCCCCCTGGGGTCCCTGGTTCGGCCCTGTGTCTGCCCCTGGGGTCCCTGGGGTGTCCCTGGGTCCCCCCCGGTGTCCCTGGACCTTCCCTGGGACCTCCATATGGTCCCTGGGGCAACCCTGGATCCGCTCCGGGGTTCCCTGGGGTGTCCCTGGGTCTCCAACAGGTGTTTCTGGGGATTTCCAGGGTCCCCCCTGGGGTCCCTGGGGTGTCACTGGGTCACCCCTGGGGTCCCTGGGCCGTCACTGTGTCCCCCCTTCAGTGCCGGACCCTGGGACCCACCCGGGGTCCCTGGGGCGTCCCTGGTTCCCCCCTGGGCTTCCTGGGACGTCCCTGGGTTCCACCCCCGGGATCCCTGGGGCTTCCCTGGGTCCCCCCCAGGGTCCCTGGGGCGTCCCTGGGTCCCAAACGGGGTCCCTGTCGCGTCCCTGTGTTCACCCCCGTGGTCCCTTGGGCATCACTGGGTCCCTGTCTGGGGGTCCCTGTGGTGTCCCTGGGTCACCCCCGGGGTCTTGGGTCCCCCCGGGGTTCCTGGGGCGTTCCTGGGTCCCCCCAGAGTCCCTGGGGCATCCCTGGGTCCCCGGGGTCCCTGGGGCGACCCTGGATCCACTCCTGGGGTCCCTGGGGCATCCCTGGGTCTCCCACAGGGGTTCCTGGGGCGTTCGAGGGTCCCCCTTCAGGTCCCTGGGGCATCCCTGGGTCTACTCCCGGGGTCTATGGGGCGTTTCTGGGTCGCCCCTGTTGTCCCTGGGGCGTCACTGGGTCACCCCTGGGTTCCCTGGGGCATCAATGGGTCCCCTCTTCAGTGCCGAACCCCGGGATCCTTAGGCCGACACTGGGTTCCCCCCCCGGGATCCCTGGGTACCCCCCGGAGCCCTGGGGCGTCCCTAGGTCCCCCCAGGTATCCCTGGGGCAAACATGGGTCCCTCCCTTTGGGTCCCTGCGTTCCCCCCCCCGGTGTCCCTGGGGCATCCCGAGGTCCCCACAGGGGACCTTTGGGTGTCCCTGGGTGCCCCCCCCGGGTTCCCTGGGGTGTCCCTTGGTCTCCCCACGTGGTCCCTGGGGCTTCCCTGTGTCCCAGCCCCGGGATCCCTGGGGCATCCCTGTGTGCCCCCAGGGTCCCTGGAGCATCCCTGGGTCCCCCCCGGGTTCCCTGGAGCATTCTCGGGTACCCCTGGAGTTCCTGGGGCATCCCTTGGTCCCCGGAGGTCCCTGGGGAGACCCTGGATCCGCTCCCGGGGTCCATGAGGCGTCCCTGGGTCCCCCATGGGGTCCGTGGGGCATCCCTTGGTATCCCAAAGGGGTCCCTGGGGCGTTCGAGGGTCCCCTTTGGGCTCCCTGGCACGTTCCTGGGTCTACCCCCGGGGTTCTAGAGCATTTCTGGGTCCCCTCTGGGCTCGATGATTCTTCCATGGGTCCCCACAGAGGTCCGTGGTTCGGCCCTGGATCACCCCCGAGGTCCCTGGTTCGGCCCTGGGTCCCCACTGGGGTTCCTGGGTCGCCCCTGGGTCCCGCTGGGGTCCCCACTGTGGTCCCTGGGGAGTGCCTGGGTACCCCTGGTGACAGTGGGGCATCCCTGGGTCCCATCTGGGGGGCCAGACTACGCTGGGTCCCCCTGTCGGTGCCCAACCACGGGTCCCCCCTCAAATTCCCTTGGGCATCCCTGGGTCCCCCACCTGGTGTCCCTGGGGCATCCCTGGGTCCCCCCCGGGGTCCCTGGGGCGTCCCTGGGTCCACACTTGGGGTCCCTAGGGCGTCCCTATATACCCTCTGGGGGGCCGGACTCCGCTGGTTGCCCCATTCAGTGCCTGACTTCGGGTCCTCCCTGGGGTCCCTTGGGCATCCCTGGGTGCCCCTGGGGTCCCTGGGGCATCCCTGGGTACCCACTGGGCTTTCTGGGGCGTTCCTGGGCCGCCCTGGGGTCCCTAGGGCCTTCCTGGGTCCCCCGCGGAGTCCCTGGGGCGTCCCTGTATCCCCGCCAGGTCCCTGGGGTGTACCTCGGTCACCCTCGGGGTCCCTGGGGCGTCCCTCGGTCCCCCCTTGGGGTTCCTGGGGCATCCCTGGGTCCTCCCCAGAATCCCAGGGGCGTCACTGCGTCGCCTCCCGGGGTCCCTGGTTCGGCTCTGGGCCCCACCCCCGGGGTCCCTGACCCTGGCTCTGGCCCTGGCAATGGCAATGGCCCTGACCCTGGCCCTGGCCCTGTATTTTATTGTAAATAAATACATAAATAAATAAATAAATAAATAAATAAATAAATAAATAAAATAATAAATACAATAAATAAATAAAGGTGCTTGTCAAGGTCTTGATCCTAGTCCTCACCCTGGCCCTGGGGTCCTGAGGCATCCCTGGGTCCCCCCTGGGTCCCTGGGGCATCTCCAGGTCCCCCCTGGGTTTCGTAGGGCATCCCTGGGTCCCCCCTGGGGTTCGTGTGGTGTCCCTTCGTCCCTCTTGAGGGGCCGGACCACACTGGGTACCCCCTTCGGTGCCGGACCTCGAGTCCCCCCTGGGGACCCTGGGGAGTCTGTGGGTCCCACCTTGGGACCCTGGGGCGTCCCTGGGTCTCCCTAGGGTACCTGGTTCAGCCCTGGGTCCCCCCAGGGTCCCTGGAGCATCTCTTCATCCCCCCGGGGTCCCTGGGGCATCCCTGCATCCCCCGCCAGGGTCCGTGGTTCGGCCCGGGTCCCTGGTTCGGCCTTGGGTCCCCCACGGGGTCCCTGATTTGGCTCTAGCCCCCCCCGGGGTCCATGGACCTGGCCCTGGCCCTGGCCCTGTTCTGGCCCTGACCCTGGCCCAGGCCCTGGCCCTGTATTTTATTGCAAATAAATAAAATAAATAAATAAAGGTCCTGGTCCTGGTCTTGGTCCTGGGCCTGGGCCTGGCCCTCGCCCTGGGGTCCCTGGGGCGTCCCTGGGTACTTCCCTGGGGTCCCTGGGGTCCCTGGGGCACCACAGGGTCGCCCCTGGGCTCCCTGGGGCATCACTGGGTCCCCCCCTGTGGTCCCTGGGCCGTGTAGCTGGGTCCCCCCCTTGTGTCCCTGGGGCGTTCCTATGTCCCCACTGTGGTCGCGGGAAACCTTTGGCGGGCCGGACCCCGCTGGGTCCCAGCTTCGGTGCCGGACCTCGGGTCCATCCTGGGGTCCCTGCTCATCCCTGTGTTTCCATGAGGTCCCTGGGGCCTCCCTGGATCCCCCCTGCGGTCCCTGGGGTGTCGCTGGTTCCCCCCTAGATCCCTGGGGCGGCCCCGGTTCTCGACTGGGGTCCCTGGGGCGTTTCTGGGTCCCCCTCGGGGTCCATGGGGCGTCCATGGTTCCCCCCGGGGGTCCCTGGGGCATCACTGCGTCCCCCCCACAGGGTCCCTGGGGCGTCACTGCGTCCCCCACCGGGGTCCCTGGTTCGGCCCTGTGTCTCCCCTGGGGACTCTGGTTTGGCCCTGGCCCTGGCCTTGGCCCTGGCCCTGTCCCAGGCCCTGTATTTTATTGCGAATAAATAAATTTAATAAATAAAAAATAAGTAAATAAATAAAAAATATAAAAATTAAATAAAAAAATAAATACAGGTTCTGGTCCTGGTCCTAGTCCTAGTCCTAGTCCTAGCCCTGGCCCTGGCCCTGGCCCTGGCCCTGGCCCTGGCCCTGGCCCTGGCCCTGGCCCTGGCCCTGGCTCTGGTCCTGGCCCTGGCCCTGGGGTCCCGGGGGCGCATTCCTGTGTCCCCCCTGGGGTCCCTGTAGGGCTGGACCCGCTGGGTCCCCTCTTGGTGCTGGACCCCGGGTCCCCCCTGGGGTCCCTGTGGCGTCCCTGGTTCCCCCCTGGGGTCCCGGGTTCGGCCTTGGGTCTCCCTGGGGTCCCTGGTTCGGCCCTTGCCCTGGCCCTGGCCCTGTATTTTATTGAGAATAAATAAAATAAATAAATAAACAATAAATAAACAAAATAAATAAATAAAAATAAATTAATTAATTAAAGAAAGAAAGAAAGAAAAAAGAAAAAATAAAGAAAAAATAAAAAAAGAAAAAATAAAGAAAATAAATAAATAAAGGTCCTGGTCCTGGTCGAGTTCCTGGTCCTGGCCCTGGCCCTAGATGGACCTTGCCCTGGCCCTGGGGTCCCTGGGGCGTCCCTGTGTCCCCCCCTGGGTTCCCTGAGGCGTCCCTGGTTCTTCCCGTCGGGTCTCTGGAGCGTCCCTGGGTCCACCCCTGGGGTCGCTGGGGCATCACTGGGTCCCCCCTGGGGTCCCTGGGGCATCCCTAGGTCCCCCCTGGGCCCCTGGGGAGTCCCTGGAGTTCCGGACCCCGCGGGTCTTCCTATCGGTGCCGGACCCCGGGTCCCCCTGTGGTCCCTGGGGCGTCCGTGAGTCCCCGCTGTGGTCCCTGGGGCGTTCGTGGGTCACCCCTGGGGTCCCTGGGGCATCCCTGGGTCCCCCCTGGGGTCCCTGGGGCGTTGCTTGGTCCCCCATGAGGTCCCTGGGGCGTCCCTGGTTCCCCACTGATGTCCCTCGTTCGGCCCTGGTCCCCTCTGGTGGTCCTGGCCCTGGCGCAGGCCCTGGCCCTGGCCCTAGCCCTTTATTTTGTTGCGAATAAATAAATAAACAAATAAATAAAATATAAATTAATTAATTAATTAAGATAAATAAATAAATAATAAATAAACAAACAAACAAATAAATAAATAAAGGTCCTGGTCCTGGTCCTGGTCCTGGTCCTGGCCCTGGCCCTGGGGTCCCTGGGGCGTCCCTGGGTATTATATTGCAAATAAATAAAATAAATAAATAAATAAATAAATAAATAAATAAATAAATAAAGGTTCTGGTCCTAATCCTGGTCCTGTTTCTAGCCCTGGCCCTGGCCCTGGCCCTTGCCTTCCTGGGGCTTGTCCCTGGGTCCCCCCCTGGAATCCCTGGGGCACATCCCTGGGTAAACCCTGGGGTCACTGGTTCGGCCCTGGGTCCCCCCTGGGGTCTCTGGTTCGGCCCTGGGTCCCCCTGGGGTCGCTGGTTCGGCACTGGGTCCCCCTAGGGTCTCTCGTTGGGCACTGCGTACCCCCTGGGGTGCCTGGTCCTGGCCCTGACCCTGGCCCTGGCCCTAACCCTGGACCTGGTCCTGGCCCTGGCCCTGTATTTTATTGAGAATAAATAAAATAAATAAAATAAAAATAAATTAATTAATTAAATAAATGAATAAAAATAAAAAAATAAATAAAATAAAAAAATAAAGGTCCTGGTCCTCGTCCTGGTCCTGGGCCTGGGGTCCCGGGGGCATCTCTGGGTCCCCACTGGGGTCCCTGGGGTGTCCCTGGGTCACCCCCAGGGGTCACTGTTGCATCCCTGGATCCCCCCTGGTGTCCCTGGGCGTCCTTGGATGGTCCCTGGGGCATCCCTGGTTCCCCCTGCCGGTGTCCCTGGTTCAACCCTGGTTCCCCTCCAGGGTCCCTATGGCGTCCCCCCCCCCGGAGTCCCTGAGGCTTCCCTGTGTTACAACCCAGGGGCCCCTGGTTCGGCCCTGGGTCTCCCTGGTGTCCCTGGTCCTGGTCCTGGCCCTGGCCCTGGCCCTGGGGTCCCTTGGGCATCCCTGGGTACACTCCGGGGTCTCTGGGGTGTCCCTGGGTGGCTCTTGGGGTACCAGGGAGTACCTGGGTCTACCCAAAGGGGCCCTGGGGCGTCCCTGGGTCCCCACTGGGGTCCCTGGGACATCCCTGGGTGCCAATGCGGTCCCTGGGGTGTTCCTGAGTCCCCCCTGGGGTCCCTGGGGCCTCCCTAGGTCCCCCCGGGGTCCCAGGGCATCACTGTGTCCCCCACCAGGTTCCCTGGTTCGGCCATGCGTCCCCCTCGGGGTCCGTGTTTCAGCCCTGGGTCTACACATGGGGTCCCTGGGGCATCCCTGGGTCCCCCCTGGGGGGCCGTACCCCACTGGGTGCGCCCTTCGGTGCCGGACCCCGGGTCCTTCTTTGGGTCCTTGCGGCATCTCTGGGTCCCCCCTGGGGTCCAAGGGGTTTCCCTGGGTCCCCACTGGAGTCCCTGGGGCATCCCTGGATCCTCCTGGGGTCCCTGGGGCGTCCCGGGTCTCCCCTGGGGTCCCTGATGGGTCCCTGGGTCCCCACTTCGGTGACGGACCCCGAGTCCCCCCCGTGGTCCCTGGGGCATCCCTCGGTCCACCCCCGGAGTCCCTGGGGCATCCCTGGGTCCCCCCCAGGGTCCCTGGGGTGTACCTGGGTACCCCGGGGTTCCTGGAACGTACCTGGGTCCTCCCCAGGGTCCCTGGGGCGTTCCTCGGTCCACCCCCCCCGTTGTCCCTGGTTTGGCCCTGGGTCCCCCCCAGGGTCCCTGGTTCAGCCCTGGGTCACCCCCTGATGTCCCTGGCCCTGGCCCTGGCCCTGTGGTCCCTGGGGCCTCCCTGGGTCCCCACCCGGGGTCCCTGGGGCATATGTGGGTCCACACCCGGGGTCCCTGGCGCGTCCCTGTGTCCCTCCGGGCTTCCTGGGGCATCCCTGGTTCCCCCCTGGGGGTCCAGACCCCACTGGTTCCCCCCTTCGGTGCCAGGACCTGGGTCCACCCTGGGGTCTCTTGGGTGTCCCTGGGTCCCACCTGGGGTCTGTGGTTCTGCCCTGGGTCCCCTGGGCATCCCTGGGTCCCCACCAGGATCCCTGGGGCATCTCTGGTTCCCCCTTCTCTGCCGGACCTAGGGTCCGCCCAGGGGTCCCTGGGGCGTCCCTGGGTTCCCCCCGTGGTCCCTGCGGCGTTTCTGGGTCCCCCCCGGGGTCCTTGGTATATCACTGCGTCCCCCCGGGGCATCACTGCGTCCCGCACCGGGTCCCTGGTTCAGCCCTGGGTCCTACTCGGGGTCCCTGTTTCGGCCCTGGGTCCCCCTCGGGGTCCCTAGGGCGAAACTGCATATCCAATTGGGGACCCTGGGGCATCCCTGTGGCCCTCCCGGGGTCCCTGGGGCGTCCCTGTGTCTCACACCGGGGTCCCTGGGGCGTCTCTGGGTAGTCCCTGGGGTTCTTGAGTCGTCCCTGAGGCCCCCTGGCAGACCGGTCCCCGCTCGGTCCCCCCTTCGGTGCCGGACCCCGGGTCCCCTCTGGGGACCCTGGGGTGTCCGTGGGTCCCAACTGGAGTCCCTGGTTGGGCCCTGGTTCCCGCCCCCACACCCTGTGTCCCTGTTTCGGCCCTGGGTCTGCCCCGGTGCCTCTGGTTCGGCCCTGGGTCCCCCCCCGGAGTCCTTTGTTCTGACCTGGGCCCCCCTAAAGTCCCTGGCCCTGGACTTGGCCCTGTATTTTATTGCAAATGAATAAAATAAATAAATAAATAATAAATTAAATAAATAAATAAAGATCCTGGCCCCGGCCCTGGGGTACCTGGGGCGTCCCTGGGTCCCCACCGGGTCCCTGGGGTGTCCCTGGGTCCCCCCTGGGGTCCCTGGGTCGTCCCTGGGTCTACTCCCGGGGTCCCCGGGGCGTCCCTATGTCGCAGTGGGGAACCTGTGGAGTCCCTGGGTCTCCCCTGCAGGGCCAGACCCCGCTGGGTCTTACCAACGGTGCCGGACACCGGGTCTCCCCTGGGTTCCGCACCCGGGGTCTGTGGGGGGTAACTGGGTCCCCCCTGGAGTCCCTGGCACATCCCTGGGTACACCCCGGGGTCCCTGTCGCGTCCCTGGGTCCCCAACCAGGGTCCCTGGGGCATCCCTGATCAACACTGGAGTCTTTGGGGCATCCCTGGATCCTCCTGGGGTCCCTGGGGCATCC